TGTTCTTCATCAGGGTGGTTGGCGCTGGCCTCTGGGAGGCCATTCTGATGTGGCGCTACTAACTGGGTGTAGGATAGAGAGTGGGGTGTGAGTTTGGAGAGTGGCGAGATACAAGAACAAACTTTGTTATGATAATTGTTGGAGTGGCTCATCATCAGTGCAATTTCAATTGTTATCCTCGCAGGTTCTACTTGTGATTGGTTGTTGGGAGTTCGTCAGAGAGAGAGAAACATTGTGTGTCTTCTCCCCATCTGTGCATAGTTGTATTCCGCTGCCTACTCTGATCTGTGTGCAGTGTGGACTCTGTCTTCTCTCCCCCTTCTCTTATGCATGTATGGGCGTGTAGAGATTGTTTGTGTGTGAGTGGCGGTAAGAATCGTCAGACAACCAAGTTCATAACAGTTGGTATCAGAGCGGGATTGGATTTGGAACACCGAGGGTTGAGCGCACTGAGGCATCTTCTTCATTTGGCAACATACTGGCGAGAGTTTCATGGCGATTCATCTTCCCCAATACTGAGTCAGCATGGAAGAAGACTTTCAGCGGTGGATCCAAGTGTTCAGTGGTTGCACTGAGCAAGCGCACTGAGCCTGTCAGCGCGCTTGTCAGGAAGTGGCGAGTACAAGGCTAATTCGCCATAGCCAACCCTAAGGGTAATATTGCGAGTTACCCCAGAGTGGCAAATTACCCCTGAGGACATCAGGGAACCCTGAACGGCATCATTCCTGGGTTGCGCTGAGGGAGATTGACATACTGTATCAATCTCCAAGAGAAATAACCCCATCTGGGGATATTTTTCGCATCAGCGGCTACCAGGCACTATGGCGAGATATTTTGGTGTTGGCTATCAGGGCGCCACAGGACCAGATCCAGTGTATCTGGATTAAGGGAGTGCAGCGCTACAGGATCCTGAGGAGGATCAACAAGTTTGGAGCAGTTCTGTGCGTGGGACAATCAGGAGGAATATCTGGGAGGAATTGGCGAGATAAGGGTATCATTGGCCATAGCCAGATCTTCATCATCACCTGCAAGATTCTCTGAAAGTGAGTCCATTCCATGCACCTACCTGTATTGCGATCCACATAGTATTAGATTGGTGAATTATAATGGTCTATCTGTCTGTCAGTGACTGGATATGAAAATCGCAGACTGCATGACAGCCATAGCCATCTCTCCCCTACCTCTCTCTGCTCATTTCTTACCCTCTGTTGACTCTTTCTGATCCAAAATTGTTTTGTGACTGCTATACTGCATTGCGATTATTCTGGGATGCTCAAACTGTGAATTCTGCACTGGAAAGGTAGTGATATTGGGAATTGCAATTTTGCGCTGGGTCTATTTTTAGCCTGTGCTACCTAGGGTCAGTCATAACTTCAATTATGTCCGTCAGAATTCAGTTTTGTCAGTCCCCAGTGAATCGCAATCCAAAAATAGGCAATACTGTAGAATGGCAGGATTGGATTTGCAGTATTTCACTGGATTCA